TTTTTTTTTTTAACCCCTTTTGTTTTTCTTAACCTGTCTCTTATACACATCTAGAGAGAGAGAGAGAGAGAGAGAGAGAGAGAGAGAGAGAGAGAGAGATACCAATCAATTATGATTCATGACCAAGGCAATTCCACAGCGGAACAAATTGCCGTTTCCGCATCCTCCTTCCTTCCTTCCTTCCTCTCTCTCTCTCCCTGGCACACATGCAAGTTATCAGATCCAATGTCACTTGCATGTGTGACGGGTTTGAGATCTGCCATGCGGAGGAAATGCGACGATTCCTTGTGAAAGAGGACATGGGAGTTGTGATGGGACTGAAGAGGTCTCTGGAGCCTGCCATGCCGCGGATTTCCTCCGCATGACAGCAAATGCTGCTTGCTGCAGGCAAAGGGGAAAGCAAGATGCGTACTGATGTTATTTGGCCTAAGGCTGTTCTGTGTGACCCAAGAGATGGTGGAGGCCATTTCCAGCAGGTGATGCTGCTGCTGCCACCAATCAACAGGAGTCATCAACAAAAAAAGGAAAGTAATAATAATCCCTTGAAAGTGGACGAGAGCCCTCTCTCGAGGATAGGTGGTTTTGGGAGAGGCTCGGTAATCGTGAAAGGCACACGCTGCCACACAGATGTACTTTCGTAGGTAAACAGGTGGAGTTCAGATCCTGCATTGTGCACACAAAGTAGGAGCTGTTGATGAGCAGGTAATGAGATGACATTGTAATCCTGACATGACATTGTAATCCTGACTGCTGCATACACTTGTAGGTTTTGTAGCTCAGTGTGGCTGTTAATAAGCAGGTCGTGCGATCGAATTCTGGCTATCATTGACGTGATGAGTGCAAATCGTGAGGACAATAAGTCCAATAATTATTCAATTTCTACTGCGGGCGTGCTGATGTTGGTAGATATTTTCTACTTATAATACCACAGTTGCGCCCTCCTCATGCCTTCCTGCTTTCCCTCCCTCCGGGAAGAGTCCCGCCTGCCAGCTACCCGGATTCAGGCCAGATACAGCAACGATAACCATGTCTCAGATGATGTCTGCATTCTATTTGGCTAAGTCTTATGCCAGTGGTATGGGATCTGATGAAAGGAGGAGAAACCATTGCAATTTCGTTTATGTATTGCTTAAGAGTTGCCCAGTTCCGAAAAAAAAAAAAAAAAAAAAAAAAAAAAA